GAACCACAACACTAGTACTAGTTAGAATTCATTAAAATTTGGGTATTAGCATAGGATTATGATTTTAGTTATAAGATCTAAAAATTATTTCCTACATCAATAATTATAAGCAGTTATATTGAAGACAACAAAGACAGTGAGAATCCATGATTGGGACAGATTAAGATTTTTTAAAAATTAAAGGAAAAATCAGAAAAATATTCTGTAACCTGGCTTGGATAGCAGTAAAGATTGCTCTTGGATACTCAGTTATAGCTTGTTGTTTACAACTCTGAAGAGGGCAAGTCGTTAGTTTGAATACAAATCATATTGATGATTTTTATTTTACATACTTCTATAACTATATTTTTTCCACTTGTACCCTCTTATATGATTTCTTTGTTTCACAATTTAAGTTTTTAGAATTTCCTAAGGAAGAAACCGCATCTCTGCTTCTTGCTTCCTACTTCCTACTTTAACAACAATTTATATCCCTACTTTTCTATTCTCTGCTGGCTTAATTTTCTTTGCTTTACAGTTTACTACTATTTTAGATTTCTTTTTATCTACTTACTTATACATCTAATTAGTCCTACCTGTTAGTTAATACTAAGATATATACTTCCTTGAAGTTTCCTATTATTTGTCTTTAGTGGTTTTACTATCTGAGTAATCATAATAACCTTTAGCTCTACAATTGTCATCTGTATATTATAATAAAGATTGATCCTCCAAAATAGCTAACTCAGATATTCTTTGATGGAATAGGATTTTGGAATAATTGATGATTGTTGAATGTAGAAAATAAAGATAGAGTGAGAAGTTATGATAATAAAGTAACAGGTATTGTAGAGAAAAAAGTGAAAAAAAGTATAGATTTATTCAAACTAACGACTTGGCCTCTTCAGAGTTGTAAACAACAAGCTATAACTGAGTATTCAAGAGCAGTCATTACTGTTACCCAAGCCAGGTTACAGAATATTTTTCTGATTTTTCCTTTAATTTTTAAAAATCGTGATCTGTTTCAATCACAAATTCTCACAGTCTTTATTCTCTTTCATATAACTGTATACAATTACCGATGTAGGAAATAATTTTTAGACCATACAACCAAAGCTATAATGTTAATCTAATAAATAAGTTTTAAGGAATTCTGACTAGTGCTCATGTTGGGGTTCACAATTTTATACAATGTGTCCCATTTTTAAGAGGTGTCCCATAACTATGACATGTCCCAACACTAGGTAAAATACGTTATGTCTTATGTTTTTTTTTTCTTTCTGTTCCGGGGATCTCACGCCCCCTTATATATTTATACAGGCCCACGATAATGACACGTCTTCCTCACCATCGGTATGTCCCACCCGATTGCTGTGTGGGCGCAGTCACACACCTTACCACATTAGGATGCATTCCCAACATAAACTATACAATGGGTTTAATGAAGGAAATAGGGAAGGCATGGACACTCCCGGTATGGAGAAGGTTTGTTATGCTCCTGTTGTTGTCTGACCCAGATCAAGAGGCAACATTATTAATTACTACAAGGTCACATGTTCGTTGATGTACATATCCCAATTGTGAGGGTCCCATTCATTGGGTCTGTCAGCAGTCCCTGTTAATCCCCTCCCTCTACCTCCTCCTCTACCTCCTTATCATTATTGGTATCTGCATCATTAGCATGTGCATCGGCACCCGAATAACCGCAATTAGCAGTTTCTGCGGGAATTCTAGCGAGGATGGAGAACTGCCCACTGGCAGCGGCGAAGGTCATCCTGACACCTGACACCTCTGGTGGCCGTGTTTTTAATCCTTGTAGGGGTTATGATCCCGTCATCGGCATCGGGACTGAGGCCAGTCTGATCAGATATAACTGCCACTGAAGTCCCAAGAGTATGCTTGTTCCTCCATCGAGACGGCAATATTGTGGTCTGTGCCGTACCCAATCGTGGAGAACCTGATGCCAGGGACAGTATCTGGGGTCCTGAGGTAGCGGGGGTTGCCCCTCGCGTCACGGACGCAATGATCCACTAAAAGAGCCGCAGGGTCTATACCGAGCTGTCCACTGTCAAGATGGCCCCAGACCAGGAGCTCACCGTTCTCGGTCAGGGCGGTTGAGTGATGTTCTCCGGCAAATATCTGAACGACTGTGTACCCTGCAAGACTCTGCACAATGGTAGGAACGGGAATTACGGTATATTCTGTGCCGCCGCGCGGAGGTTCGTATATCCCACGTTGCCCATATTAATTGAGCCCCCATGCCCAGACCCTGCCGTCCCAGGTCATTGCGAAAGAATGGTATCATATGAGCCGGTAGTGACATACATGCCCTTGCACTGGGGAAGGGATACATGGTGAGGGTTCAGCCTGGTGAGGCGACGTCTCTCAGAGATATGCCTCCCGAGCTGGGATTGCTTACCATCGCCCCACGCGTACACCTCTCCTTCCTTCGTAAGGCCAAGGACATGATCAGTACCAATACTGACCCGAACGATATTCCTAAGCCTAAGTAGCAGGACCAGAACATCCTGTATACTAGTCCTCTCTTTGAATCCACGAATGCCATCATGACACTAAACAATAAATTAACCTTACTAACCCCAAATCGAGAATTAATCACATACCCTAAATGTTCCCTATCCACAACCCCGGCCAGTGTCGGTAACAGCGACCGAAATACTGTTACCGGTAGCAATTCTTGTAATCACAGTCCCCTCTGGAAACCCTGTAATCAGCATTGGCGTGTCCTCCAATGGATTCAAGGGCACTTTGCTGTCACAGTCACTGTCGCCACCACCATTATCGGGACGCAAAGCCCTGGTCAGCGGTGTATGTATGGTTGTTCTCCCAAGAGCGTACTGATCATTGACACCCCACTATTACACCTTCCCCCTGTACGATAAGGCTAAGCCATGCATACCACCAATTGCAACTGCAACTATTCCCACCTTATCAGGGAGGAGATGGGCATTCAATCTGGGACGCTTAATAACCTTTGCGTTAACCTCTAGCCCAATACACAGCTCAGCATTGTCACCAGTACCAAATGCATATATGTTCGATTTCCGGGTCAGGAGAGGGTTGGTGATGGCCGATATGGGTTCGATAGTACCAGCCCCGTGGGCCCTCACCAATCTACCCTGAACGGCGCGCGGTACTCGGTTGAGAATATCCACAAGGGTGTTTGTGTCTGTCCCTTGTTGATCCATCAGCGGTGGTTCAGCGAGGCATGCTCGACCCTCCCCGTTCTACAATGGACAACGCTTTGTAAATGTTTATGGAATCGTTGTCTTTCTGGCAGCTATGAGTGAGGCGCTTTGATTTCTTATCGTTACTGATATCTCGAATACTGCTTTCGTTGCTGCTATCTGCCACGCCCCTTTTCTTTCACGCAATCCTATCCCCTCTTTATACTGCTGATTACCTTCTAACCCCCACCTCTTGCTCCTTCTCCAAGCTTCTCTTAAGTTCCCTTTACCCCTCCTCAATCAACCAATCTCATTCCTCCATCTGACCACATACTCCAAAACCCCCCTCCGGCTAAACATCTTATATTGTACAGGGATACCGAAAACCCTCCAGAACATTCCATCCCTCATACAAATCGAATGCTCATAAGCCTGACAAATAAGAAACCAGTACAAGACCACCTCCGGAAGTTTCTGGCAGACCCGGGATGAATTGATGTGGCTTGGGCTATCAGGTACGGGTGCAGTACTGGTGATTTTCAATACAACGCTCCCCAGTTCTCTGGGGCACACTACTAACTGTGGACAGCAGCGCGCGAACCCAAGCGGAGACAATGATGTCTCCATGAGTTTATTTGTTTGTTTGTTTGTTTGTTTGTTTGTTTGTTTGTTTGTTTCTCAGATGAGAAGTACGATGGGTATCTATGACAGTGAGCATGGTGGGTATGGTACTTGCACTGTGACGGGCATGGGGATAATAATCGAGGCAACAATATCAGCTGGGTAGACATTGGGGGTGTTGTCTTCCTCGGTTGTCTTGGGGGCAATTCTTATTGTCTCGGGGAACCTGTATGAAAAGGAGTTTTTTTTTTTGCAATCCTGATATACCCCCCTTTTGGTACTAGCTGTCGGTTACTGCTAGTTGCAGTTGTCTCTACGATACCGCATGAACTTGAATAAGAGCAACACCGCTCGGGACGTCTAGGTTTCCCCTCTTGGTAACGCGTGGTTTTATTTTGCTGGTATTTTCTCCCGTCCCTACCAAAATAGGCAAGTCAGACATCCAGAGATGTGTTGCTCTTATTCAAGTTAATACAGTATCTTCCCCACATTTGATCTTAATCATGACGTTTATTTGGTGGATGATACTAGATAGTTGTACGAGTGCTTGAGTACTGTACAGGTGTTTCAGTGGGGGTGTATTTTCCGGAAATTGCGGTACACAGCAGGCCTCCTCTGGGGGATACAGCACACCAGTACCAGTACAGAGGTATGGTCAATTTATTCAAGCAGAACAAAGCGAATATGAGTAGAATTGCCTAATGAATGGGCCTGGGACTGCCATACCATACCCTACACGCACTCGAATTATTCTAGAAGTATCTTCCCCTATCATCCAGCTTTCCGCCAAGACCCGGCGCTTACCCACACTTGAATGCCCGACATCTGAGATTGGTCCTTTTGACGACAAAAAAATCACTTTGTAAATCTAAAAATGAACTTAAAGTAAGGAGATGGTCATAACCTGCTCGCACTCTTTATTTCTATGAGCTCTGCCCCTTGATTAAGTATCGGGTCAGAAGAGTAGCGTTAAAAGTACTAGTACTGCACTGTACCCACTATCATGCTCGCCAACCGCGCTAAGCTACAATACCAATAGCCCCCAATTCTCCACAAAGGACAAATTTACAGTCGCCCACCAGTAGACCAACCCAAACCCAGCGGACACCCCACCGCCAAGACCCCACCTGCTACCCCAATCTCACCTAGTCCAACCACCTAACCTCTCCATTTAAAAACTACCCGTAGACTAACCAACCAACCAAACAAGCCATGTCTCAAGCAACAATAAAATCCTTCTTCAAATCCCCTCACTTTGCCGTCGTAGGTGCAACCCCGGACCCTAACAAATATGGTCACAAAGGTTTCCCCTCCATCCTCCCCCTCCACCACTGCCTCCATCCTCCCACACTAACCCTGCCAAGTATTTGCCTGGTACCTCTCCCACTCCCTCCCGGTAACCGGCATAAACCCGCGCACCCCTACAGTCCTGACCCATGAAACCCTGGCCTCACTCAAAGACCTGGCGGACCCGAAAGGACCCTTGGTGAGCTTCATAACCCTACCGCAGGCGACTTGGGCTCCACCCTCACCACCCCTCCACTCCCGAAACTCGCTTGTTTCCAATAGCTAGTTCTCCACTCCGTCAAACCACTCACTCCGCAGGGCTTGGTGTCTGTTATTTGGCTCCATTGGAGAGAGCCATCACATAATCTGCGCATCTTGGTCGGACTTGTAGACAGTTTTGTTGAAACAACCGGTTATGTTGGCGCTGTGGGTATTGCCGTCGCCGATCTTGACATTCATAGTCTGAGCTGAAATGAAAAAACATACGGAATTTCTGTTATCGAAAAATCTTTATTCAGGGAAACAGTAGTACATAGGAGCAAAAACAAGCAGAATAAAGGACATTTTGTCCTTATGCGGGTCACCATGCCTAACTCACTTGGTATTCTTATGCCCCAGAGGGATTCAGGCGCCGCCGTTTAGACTGAGCAAACGTCTCCTCCTCTTCCCATACCCCCGCCATGACCATTAGCTTCTTGGCACGTTTGGCTGCCCTTACACGCTCCGTGTCTGGTATCGAACTGCTGATGAACTCCCGCAGTCCGTCTAAACAAAACATTATACAATCACTCGGGTCTTGGCCCTTAGGGAGGCTGTCACCCAGAAGATCCTCCATTGTGACTCCAAACTCCTTAGGGTCTCCCCCATCCACATCCGGCTCGGGAAATAATGTTGCCTCAAACGATTTCTCTATCTCTCGGCCATCCTTGCTCGCTCGGTAGACATGCATGGTAGCCTTTAAGCTACTAACTAAGGGCTGCCCAAGCTCATCTCTTCGATTAAGATCCATTAGCTTCTTAGCCAAATCGTTTAAGTTCGTTGTACTATCGATACTATCCACCACAGTTTCCTCCTCACTGGTACTTCTGTGTGGCTTGGTCGCCTCCTCTGGCTGCTTGTTTGAGGCCTGCAAAGAGTGCTTTATGGTGCTTTCCGTAAACGAAACGACGATCACAATTCGGGTCTGACCATCGGTATGCAGAAGCCAGAGGCGCGCGTCCTCTACCAACTTTTCAAGTCCTTCAGCCCAACCCGCCTCGCACACTACGCGGGGAAACTCTGTATCGTGCAGCTTCACATATGCATCCGGAAGCTTTTCGGATGATCCGGTCCAATCACCCTTGAATCCAGTAAAGGCTAGAAACGATTAGCAAGATCAAAAAAAAAACCACAGTAGGGACTGATGAAGATGAGAGGTCAGGCGGAGATAGTGCATAGCACGAGTTTATATGAGGTTGTTCAATCACATACTTGTCCCTGAACCCACTTTGACCAATCCCCTAGCCCGAGACACTCCAAGTTTTTCAGCCAGGGATAGTAAAACCGTTTCATTAAAAAAAGATTGCAAAGAGTCATGCGTTGCCAGCGGTATGCATTTAATTACGAGGCTTTCGGCGAGGAAATTGTATTCATACCGGATTTCGGTACTTTCCGCAACTTGTGGATGTATCTCCTTCCATCCCTGGAGAGCTTTGGGTGAAACGTGGGGAAAAATTAAGCTGCCTTCGAGATCTGCTTGCAACTGTAATATCCGCTTGTGAGACAAGTCTCTTAGGCTTGAGGGTGGTTCCATAACAGTAAACAGTCTTGGTTGGGTAAGGCAAGGTACTCGATCGATATCCGTAACCGTAACGGTCGGTATAAGAATAGGCGTTTGAGGAGGGATTGGGACTGCAGGGAGTTTTGGGGGGGAGGACAGAGGTGGCTTTTTGAATCGGGGTCGTTTTTTTGGTGACCTCCGGAAACTGGCATCAGCTCTTCTTCCATCATTATGACGGGCATACCCGGCCCCCTGCAGAGAAAAGCAGCCACCTGCCACCCTGTCCACCCAGGGGTTGACTCCTGGATCTCGTGGGCCCAAGTCATAACCTTCACCGAGACCCCACATATTCATGATGCGTTCGATAAGGGTTTTGTATCAATTAACAGACGAAGTGGAATTGGGAAAAATAAGGATCAACAAAAGTGTTGTCAATTGACAGACGAAGTGGAATTGGGAAAAATAAGGATCAACAAAAGTGATAGGTGGTAGATGGGGTAAGGAAAATTGAGACAAGGGGATGGGGACGGAGGGGAGCAGGGAGAGGAAGGAAAAGGCTATTACCAGAAGTATATACGTATGCGTTTCCACTAACTAGTTAATCACCGAAACACCGTACCTGGTTGAACCGTGAGAAAATAAGGTGAGGTGACGCAGTCGCGGGAGCCGAACAGAGGCCGATCCCGCCAGCCCTCGAGGTCGTCCTGGATGGGGTGGGCGGTGGTTGACTGCGTCTGAAAGGACCCCTCATTGTAGACTAGATATCCACCCTCTGGAATGCCGGATAGACAGCGATCGCGAGCGGAAGGACCCCAGAGATAGGCTACATGTTCGATCCAAATGGCAAGCCATAGCATGCATTCAATAATAGCATCAGACCATTCAGGCTTATTTGTGACTATGTAGAAGGTCGGCGGTCCAGCCCCAACTACGGCTACTACCCGGTAGAACTCCAAATCAATAATCCTAAACCACGATGAAGAGCCCCAGTCTTGTATTCTACCTAAACCATACAATGGGTTTAATGAAGGAAATATGGAAGGCACGAACACTCCCGGTATGGAGAAGGTTTGTTGTGCCCCTGTCATTGTCTGACCCAGATCAAGAGGCAATATTATTAATTACTACAAGGTCGCATGTTCCTAGATGTACATATTCCAGTTGTAAGGGTCCCATTCATTGGGTCTGTCAGCGGTCCCTGTTAATCTCCTCCCTCATCCTCCTCCACTGCCTCCTCATCATCATTAGCATCTACATCATTGGCATGTGCATTGGTACCCGAATAATCGCAATTAGCAGGTTCCGTAGGAATTCCAGCGAGGAGGGAGAACTGCCTACTGGCAGCGGTGAAGGTCATCCTGATACCTCTGGTGGTGGTGTTTTCAATCCTTGTAGGGGTCATGATCTCATCATCGGCGTCAGGGCCGAGGCCAGTTTGATAGCTGCCACTGAAGCCCCAAGAGTATGCTTGTCCCTCGATCGAGATGGCAATATTGTGGTCTGTGCCGCAGCCAATGGTGGAGAACCTGATGCTGGGGACAGCATGTGGGGTCCTGAGGTAGCAGGGGTTGCCCCTCGCGTCACGGACGCAGTCATCCGTTGAAAGCACCATAGGGTCTATACCAAGTTGTCCACTGTCAAGACGGCCCCAGACCAGGAGCTCACCGTTCTCGGTCAGGGCAGTTGAGTGATGTTCCCCGGCAAATATCTGAACGATTGTGTACCCCGCAAGACGACTGCACGATGGTAGGAACGGGAATTACTGTATGTTCTGCACCGCAGCACAGAGGTTCGTATGTCCCGCATTGCCCATATTGATTGAGCCCCCATGCCCAGACCCTGCTGCCCCGGATAATTGCAAAAGAATAGTATGAGCCGGTAGCGACGTACGTGACCTGGCGCCGGGGAAGGAACACCTAGCAAGGGTTCAGCCTAGTAAGGCAACATCTCTCCGAGACGCCTCCCAAGCTGGGATTGCTGACCGTTGCCCCACACGTACTCGAGTACACATCTCCTTCTGTCGTAAGGCCAAGGACATGATCAGTACCAAGACTGTACTGACCCGAACCATGTTCCTCAGCATAGGTAGCATGACTAGAACATCCTATACATTAGTCCTCTCCTTGAATCCAAGAATGCCGTCAGTACTAAACAATAAATTAACCTTACTAACCCCGAATGGAGAATTAATCACATACCTTAAATGCTCTTCGTCTGTAAACCCTTCCAGTGTTGGTAACAGCGATTGAAATACTGTCACCGGCAGCAATTCTCGTAATCACAGTCCCCTCCAGAATCCCTGTTACTAGCATTGGCGTGCTCTCCAACGGATTCAAGAGCACTTTGTCATCATAGTCGCTGTCGCCATCATCATCGGAATGCACAGCCCTGGTCCAAGGTGTATGCGTGGTCGCTCCCCCAAGAGTGTACTGATCATTGACACCCCATGAGTACAGTACTGTACACCTTCCCCTCGTCCGATAATGCTAAGCTGTACATACTACCAATTGCAACTGCAACTATTCCCACCTTATCGGGGAGGAGATGGGCATTCAATCTGGGATGCTTGACAACCTTTGCGTTAACCCCCGGCCCAAGACCCAGTTCGGCATTGTCACCAGTACCAAATGCATATATGTTCAACTTCTGGGTGGGGAGAGGGTTGGTGATGGCTCATATGGGTTCGATGGTACCGGCCTTGCAGGCCCTTGCCAATCTACCCCAAACGGCAAGCGGTATCCAGTTGAGAATATCTGCAAGGGCGCTTGTGTCTGTCCCTCGCACATATTCCTCACGCAGTCACGCATCCTCCACAACCGTCCACTTAAATTACACCACCCTGCCAAGGTGAGCTTAATAGCACCCACCTTCCGTAACCCGGCCAACCCGGTCTGAACAGCACACGGTGTTCGGTTGAGGGCAGCCGCGATCTGGAGGATGCTTGTTCGCCGTGCAAGCCCCTCACGATTTTTACTGACAAATTTTAAGCGACAAAGTAGCTGATGGTTACTGCTCCCACCCATTTCCGCGCATTCTTTACTGTCTTGAGGGGTTGGCAGAAAGGCTGAAACCTTGATGGTATTCTATAGGAAAAATCTGAGACAGGCTGGTATTTAAAAGGGTTGCCCGCATGAGAACCTTGTTTGTCTGTAATGTCGCTGAATCCATATCCAAGGCCACCAGAATCCCCCCCACAGCTCATAGCTCACGATCCACTCACCGACAAAATTATTCTAGTACCTCTCACTCCTAAATATTACACACCCCAACTAGTCCACGTCTATCAAGAAAAGTGTAAAAAAAAAAAAAGCATATACAGCAGAAATAGAACACCATTCCCTAACCCCCACTTCCATATCTGTGCCCCTGGCAGGGACCGACAACCTGTGCACATGCAGTGCAGGAATGCTCAAGATAGGGAAGCGAAAAAAAAAAAAGAAGAAAAAACTAGCTCGGGTTGAACCCTCTACTTTTTCTGGTATGGAAAACAACGGAAAATGAAAGAAACGTGACCTGGTGCAGATGATCCGGTAAAATATAGCAATACACCAACGTCTTCGCTCGCTTCATGATGGGCGTTTCAAACTTCTATCTCATTGTGGTCATAGTTAGTCCCGCAAGCGGTGCCTTTTCAACAGGCATAGGAGTAGTAGCACGGGAAGTGGGTGCACTTCTGTTATGCGCCATATGGCTCTTCACAAGATGGCCCGCAGCGAGAGCTGAGCACAAGCTGAGCTCTCCAGCCAAAACCGCAGCAGCAACTATTCGTGCGAGTTTGCGAGCATTCTCCCCAGGGCTCGTCTGATGGGCTCCGCGGACGCCCAAAAGGTCAAGCATGGCACCCTGGGGCTCGAGGACGGTCCCACCGCCGATGGTACCAACCTCGATCGAAGGCATGGAGACCGATATTTGGAGAGCGCCCTCAGCAGTCCTATAGAAATGTTGGCTATATATCGAGTAGTAAGGGACGTGCGTAGGGACTTACTTCTTCATAACAGTGATACAGTTGGAGGATTCAACGTTCTGTGCGGGATCCTGTCCAGTAGCCAAGAAGACAGCAGTGACAATGTTGGCAGCGTGAGCGTTGAAGCCGCCAACGCTTCCAGCCATCGCACTACCAATCAAGTTCTTCGAGATATTCAGCTCAACCAAAGCATCGACATTGCTCTTAAGGACACTCTTGACAACAGCGGCAGGGATGATAGCTTCGGCGACGATGCTCTTGCCGCGTCCTTCAATCCAGTTGATAGCAGCAGGTTTCTTGTCAGTGCAATAGTTTCCGGAAACAGAGACAATAAACATGTCGTCAAATCCACACTCTGTGCTCATAACGTGCAGGGCATACTCGACACCCTTAGAAATCATATTCATACCCATAGCATCACCGGTTGTAGTTCGGAACCTGATGAAAAGATAGGTTCCGGCGAGGGCAGTCTTGATATTTTGAAGTCTAGCAAATCTAGAAGTAGAGTCAAAAGCCTTCTTGAGTCTCCTTTGTCCTTCCTCGGAATCGATCCAGTTCTTGGCAGCACCTGCTCTACAAACGCTTGGGAATTCGACGACAGGTCCTCTAGTCATTCCATCACCAGTCAAGACGGTAACAGCCCCGCCGCCGGCATTGATAGCCTTGCATCCACGGGAAGTACTAGCGACCAAAACACCCTCAGTTGTAGCCATGGGTAGATAGAAAATTTCACCATCAATGTTCAAAGGGCCGGCGATACCAACGGGTAGAGGCATATAACCAATAACGTTTTCACAGCAGGCGCCAAGAACTCTATCGTAGTCGTAATGCTCGTGGGGGAGAAGAGAGCGTTCTAAAAGGCTGGTCTTGTCCATAGTAGCCGGTGTTCTCGAAACGACGGATCGCCGAATGCGGACCGCACGACCAGTGTCTGCAAGAGTCTTCTCCAAGGCGTAGCCGGGGATCTTTCCGCGGAGAGACAATTCCACAAGCTCTGCGTCGTTGAGTTCTCTTGCGCGCTTTTCCCTAAGCATTTCCTCACATTCAGCAACCGTTCTACCCACTTCGCTTCCAGCCTCCTGTCCAACGTGCAATCCGTTCTCCATGCTGTGCCGGGTTCCGGCTCCCCCGCCGCAAGTGCAGTTCACAGGAACAATCCTCTCGACGACGGCGGGGGCCGTAGCCTGGTCGGCCGAACCATTGGCCGTAGTGCCGATTTCATATTCCTGATTATGGCCGGTCTCCTTGACACTCCATCTCGCGGCATTGAACAGGTATCCATTAAGAACCAAGCTCATCGCAAGCGCAACAAAGATCCATTTACTCAAGACAGGGTCCTCCAGGCTCCTCAGCAAGCTTTCAACTACCTTACCACCCATTCCCTCGGCAAAGAGGTCAGGCCCGTCAAAGGCATCGCTGGGGGCATAACCGCGACTGCTAGTCGCCGAGGGGAGGGCTTCCGCACTCAAGCGCCGAAGTTCGTATTCGATGGGCTTCAAAATAGTAATAACCATTGGCACCTTGTCGGAACTCAAACTGTCCAATGATGCACCCGCGAGGGCCCAAACATCAACATTGGCGGCCTGGTTTTCCGTAGCAATTACCGTCGAGCTCGAGTTATCCCTGAAGGGAAGGGTGCATAGATTGAAGATATTGACCAGAACGAATCCAGTGACCATCATAAACTTAAACTTTCCAACACTTGAATCCCGAACACGGTCTCCGAACACCCCGACATCTCCCACCTTGGCAGTGGCGTCCCCCCGATCATTCGCATCTCCCTCGTTCATATTAATACGGGGCCATTCGTTGGATCTGGCCACGTTTTCGGCAACCCTCCTGCTGACGCCATCTTCCTCAAGTGCCTTGCGAAGAGCTACATGACGCTTAATTCTGTTGATCTCCAGTTTGATGACGAGGATGGCGGTGTAAAAGGTGAAAAGAAGGATACAGTCGAAAGCCAGGATCCATGCAGCCAAGAAACAAAACTGTCGTAATCCACCCTGCACACCGGACGCAGCTCCGATGGAGAGAATAATGATCTCGATTATGTAATCACGGACAATCTCGAATCCCCTTTCCCGAACAGCAGACACGACAGCAGCCTGAATGGGAGCCCCATTCGGAGAACCAGCTTGTCTAGCCTTCTTCTGTGAAGCCTCGAGAACGGCTCTAGTCAAGATGATGGGTTTTTCAAATCCGATAGTGACAACCAGAAACGGAAGACCTTCGGAAAGAAGAATCATGTTGATCGGAACACCCATCTTGTGAGTAGCGATAGAAGCAAAAAGGAAGGCAAAAGTCGAAGAAAAGAGTACGGTTGTCGCCAACCAGAAGTTAGATCCCAAACGTCGCATAGACATGAACAATGACAAAAATGTCAGGTGCATAGACAGATATCCAAGGAACACGATGGCAATATCAAGTGGCTCCGCGCTCTACAGCTCATATTAGTATTTATAAATTAAAAATTAAAAATTAAAAAAACTCGTGAATCCCGAATCGCTAACCTTGACAAGCTCGATAAAGCCATCTACAGATTCATGAATCTTCTCTGCCCAACCCCTCTTTGTACGGTCTAACCCAACTTGAACCCAACGGCGACGACCCCTAGCATCATGGCCGTCGACAGCGGGCAATTCGGCAACAGAGTCAACAAAGGCGTTAAGCTCGGGATGAGGAATAGCATAAACAGAAGACGAGAGACCCGAGGGAAGAGGGATTGCCGAGCTGTTGGCGGGTACCGGCACCGAAAACTTTGATCCTATCGGGAACGAAAGGGTCAAAAGGGCCAGTTCCGTGACGGACTATGCATTGTTTGAAAAAATCAATCAACAAAAGGGCAATTAAAGTTTGAGATTAGAAACAACAAAAACACACCTTATCTTCCATATCCCGAGTTCCAATCTCCTTCCATTTCCATTGAGTCTCCTCACCGAGGCCCACTCGAACACTTCCATCTAGAAGTGCCCCTCTCTTTGCACCTCCGAACCAATTCTTCCCGCTTCTCTCAAACAAACTATCCTCGAGAAGCGAGATATAGGTGGTCGAAGCTAAAAGAGCTATTATGACGATTGTATGAATGGGATGTATACAAGCACTCTTGGAAAGGCCCGTGACCATGGGGGTAAACGGGTCCCATTGTGGGGGAGGTTTCTTCGCCGTTAAGGACGGAGGGAGTAGTGGAAGCTGCATTGCGGCAGTTAATGCGTTATGCGGTGCGGGCGGTGGTCGGTTAACCAGTTCTCGAGACAGCAAAGGAGAGGAAAGAGAGGGAAAGGAGATAAGAGAAGGGAGTTCGTGGAGTTTTGTCCGACTTCCGGCGCCTTTTGGGGGGATCTGGCCTACGGGTCGTGGTACCGGTACCCTGGTCAATCCAAATTTCAAGGCAACGCCTCCGTTTTTCCTCTCGCCCCTGAAAATCCCAACGAACAAAAACAGCTCACAACAACGTAACAATGACACTGGTGTACCCACTTTTGGCTGGAGAGCAATAATTTGCTCGGGCCAAAAGATGAAGAAGGAAGCCCTCCAACCAAATTGCGGAAAGGGAAGAGAGTGCTATTAACTTTGCCCCTATTCTTTCGGGGGTTGTTCCGATTTTGCCGTAGCACACAGTACGGCGGGTAGCAGGTGAAGAAGGGCGAGAGCAGCCCTGAGTGCGGTAGGGTACCGGTACGGCACTCTGCGGTATAGCAGAGCACCGCTAGCAGGGGGAGTGTGTGTCCGTGAGGCGAGAGGCGAGAGGGCCGTACCGACACCGCAGCGACCGTACGAGTATGATACTCGTACAGTGCGGTATGTGTGGGACTGATCCCAGGTTTTATCCACCCGGGCACAAGCAGCCAGCACGAGGTTGGTCTAACGGTCGGTCCCCAGGGTCGGGTGAGGTCAAACCGTCCAGTTTCCACCTATGATATGATACAAAAAGACAACAAAGATATGACAAGGCAAGTCGGGGCGGTGAAATCAAGGGTCCGGTACCAGTATGGGAAGGGCGTAGAAAATCACAAGTGTGCGCCGCATGGACAGCAAGAAATACTACGGTACCCAGCAAAAGGCAAGAGAATAGCGGACCCATAACCCTGAAAAAGGCAAACGCAGGGCCAGACGGAAGGGATGGGGGGGTGACTACCGGTACTATACATGTGTTGGGGCGGCTCAACAGTTCCAGGGTCTGAGGAGGAGGTGGGGGGAAAGAGCCGATGCTATGAAGGTAGACTACTCGCACAGTGCGAGCGGACGTTCCCCCGACCGACCGAACGAGCCTTCGGGAGAAGGACGAAAGGCCCATTTTGCGCGAGAATGGAATGGCCTCGGCCAGCTATGAAGCTGCCGGGATGGATGCTTTATCCGAGGTGGTGGTGGTGGTGGTGGTGGTGGTGGTGGGTTGTATGATACGGTATGATACTCGAAGGTTTACAGACCTTGTACGGTACATCCACTTCTCAATTGTTGGTGAAGGTCACACGATAGACAGGGTGAGAGACAAAGAGAGACATCCCCCAACGGTGGAGCCTTCCCCAGCAAAGCAATACCGGTGCTTGTGCGCTTGGCCAGGGCACGACAGAAAAGCCCGCATTCAGTATGGATGACAGCTTGGAACCTACCACATTCCAGGAGGAGGGAAGAGGAGAAGATCTAGTGGCCGTGTGGCTCCGGTTCACGAGCGAAATGTTTCCCCGGTAATCGTTGAGACCCTCCTGAACCAGTTCCCAGCTCCCGGTGCCATCTAGGGCACCTGTTGCCTGTTGCAATGCTCACGATACCGGTACCGATATCACACAGCACGGTAGGGAGGTTCAAAGCTCTCGGTACGCTGTGAACCGAGTACCGGTACATAATATGCCCCGCAAAAACAGGTGTACTTGTATGCTGCATCCCTCCTCCCCAGGAGATTTGCTGTGTAATTTACAAGTAACTTACCATGATATCCAAAAAAACGCACCTCTACCGAAACACCTGTACAGTACCTTCCGTGTACTGTACCGAGAGCTTTGAACCTCCCTAAGTCAGGCAGTAGTGACTACTAGTGAGTGTGGTACAGTGCGGCACCCTACTCGAGCACCGCAATGTGCCGCAATGAAGCACAACTGGCCCAACCATAACGCAAGTCATAGTGCGGTACAAATGCGGTATCATACCGTACTGGTGCAGTGCGAGTAACATCAGGTCAAAGAGGGGCTCAAGACTACCTACCTACCGTACCGGTACTCCCCGGGATGCAAAGTCCCTCGTCCAGCATAGTTAAACCCCATGATCCCCTACAACAACTACTCTCCATGATGGCGGGGTCCTCCAAAAATTGGGTATACATCGTACAGGATGATATCATACAGCCATATCCAGACCGATCTGTTTCCCAATTCCCTGTAAGAGCGGTTTGTTGATTGTCAAGTTATATGCGCGATTGCACTGGAATGGCTTTTGCTGCGACCGAGCGTTCTACGAGATCTGCCGTAATATACGAGTACGGTACTGTACTCGTGGGGTGAAGGCGACCTTTACGACCGATTCGGGGGTATCGTAGAGTGCAACTCAAAAGCAAAGAGGGAAACACGCACGCACACACACGCACCCGTCCCATCTATCTCATCGTCATCGTCATCCCAAATCCTCAAACCCCATTCACCAACACAAAAAAAGCACACGCCGCCTGCAGGTCCAGACAATCTATTTGTCCATTCCCCACCAACCATCCGCCCACCCATCCATCCACCCGACCCATCGTCCTCAACGGTGGACTATCCATCCATCCATCCATCCATCCATCCATCCATCCACCATTCAATCTATCCACCCACACCTTCCGCCTTGTCTACCCGTACCCTACTCGTGCGGATACATACCGAACAGAAACAACCTCACGTACCAAAGGGAAGGCAAAAGAGAGAAAAAGAAAAATGGACCCAACATCCAACTACGCTCCAATAGTTGAAAGAGATAAGCCACCCTAGCCTGCATAACCCATTCGCTTAAAGATGGCAATAGAGGTGAGAGAGGGGAGAGGGGGAAGAAGAAGAAGAAAAAGAAAGAAATGGAAAGGGAATCAAAAATAATAATAGCTGACGTGGAATTGTGTGCGTGCTGTTGGTGTGCGGGGCAATACTGGGCAGAATGGAGGCGATGCTCACCGCTTTGCGAAAGAGACACGCGGAACTCAAATCCCAGAACGATCGGAACGTGCGATTGGGCGTGGCCATGGAGAATCTGCTGAGGCCTGTGGAGGATGGCATTCGTATCGAGCGGGAGAGGGAAGCCGCCGAGCTTGCGTCGAGGAGGATGGACTTTGGCTTCAGGGCCGAGGCGGGGAAGGGCGATGAGGACGTTGGCACCGTGGGACAGAAGTCGAAATAGATATCACATATGATGCATTATATTAGGCACGCATATACTCGCATCGGTGTTGGTTACTCGTAGTCTATTTCCTATCCTACGGCACAGTACGATGTGCGTTCGGATCGTGTCCGTTCGGTGATGCTTTGGTGCAAGGATTTTTTTTCTTTCTTTCTTTTCTTGTTGATTTCTTTGATTGTTTAAGGGTACTCGGGATACAATCTCTGTATTCGACCACCAGGCTACATCCCAAAAATCCAAATAATATATAAAAAATAAAATAAATAAATATGATACTACGAGCACAGTACTGTACTGTAAGTTATTATACAGCAACACTACAGAAACAAACCAATTACAAATCACCTTTCAGCATAAAACTCCCTTGCCATTTTATAGACTCTCATAGCATCAATTTGAGAGATACAGGCTCGGGTATACTCGAGTACAAGTGCTAGGAGAGTTTTCGCTAGAGACAAGGATCATTTGGGTTAACTTAAATTAACTGTTGGTTTATTTTTCGAGGGGGTACAGTACTTTTATGCATCCAAAAAGATAAGCAAAAAAAACAAGCAGAAAAGTGCGGAAAGTAGGAAAAGTACGAAAAAGTCACCCCGGTATGTGGGAAGCTTGGTGGGTGAAATAAACCGCTTGTGTGTGTGTGTGTAATTGCTGGGACTGATCGCTCGCCCAAGTCTTACATTGAAAATAGCCCAACTGATGATACATGCCAAAAAACTCCGTCCCGTCCCACTACCAGACATAAATCGAGAGGAAAGAAGGAAAAAAAGAAAGAAAAAAACATCAAGAAATCTTTAATAACGAGAATCGAGAGGGTAAATAAAGAGTATCCACCCGCCCGTCTGCTGTTGGGCGAGCCCACCGGCACTCGACAAGTCAGCCCCTATGGAGGAGGGCTGTCGTCACTGCGCCACAATTACTTGTTTCCGACATCTAAAACGAGCCTTCGTTCAACCTCGGTTTCCTTTCCAACCTCTTCCTCGCCCTCAAACTTCAGTCTGCAGGTGCCATCTCTCTGTTCCGAGCGTTAGCTTTGCCTGCGTGGAGGGCCGCGGGACATGTGACTTGCCTTTGTTCCCATCACCTCAGCTCTATAAAAGGTTGTTGTTTCCGGGTATCTTGCGAGAACTTGTTTGCCAATAGGGTATGGTGACAGCCCGGCAGAGTCCTTGGGGATTGGGATCAATGCACTGGCAAAAGCTTTGTATGTAGTCCCGTGACCTCCAGCCTCGTCTGGCTCCGGATCCTGTACTTCATACCTAAGGGAGCGCTGTGTGAACTATGTTCCCTGGGAACGGTGCAGCAGCGATTTTGGAGACCTCATACCTTCGCTTATTCCCATCCACAATAATGCCGACTATGATGCACTGAATCCACATGCCCTCGGCATTTTTTTGTTTCGGGAGGCGGTATGCGACCTCGGAATCTTTCTGGAGGCCATTGTGTGCATCGGGCGCTGCGGACATGCTTCTGGCAACCTTGGTATTTCGGTTGGATGGGCTGTCGGCAGCAACGGCGTCGTCAAGCTTGCGCTTGCGCTTCTTCTCGCCTATGGGTAGAGGGAGCAAATGGTCAGCTTAATTCGGGAAAATATGGAGAAAACAGTATAGAGAGGCCGAGGGCCGGGTGGGCACCAAAAAGGATACGGTAAACGCACAATATGGGGGTGGCGCGGTCTAATAATTACAAAAAAGGGCAAAGGGTGAAGTGTAAGAAGAATCAAAATTTCTTACCTCCTCTGTCACCGCCTTCTGTAGCAGTCCTTAGAGCTATGAGAAGATCGTTCCATTCTAAAACAGATTGTAGGGTCCTAACGTTTTGTTAGTTTTCTATATAGTAAGTCGAGCGCACTCGATGCCTACTGCTGCTCCTTCTCCGCGAGCTCATAGTGCTCGGTATATAATTTCTTGAGAAGCCTTAGATCCTCCAGAGATGCATCTGCAGACGGGATTAGCAAATGGCGCTGGCATTGGGTAAGAAAAAACCCCAGTGCATGTAAATTGAGAGACCATGCGTAATATCAGAATTTCGGCTGGAAGTGTTAAACTAACCGGCTTCTGCCTGACGTTCCTCTTCCCGCTGGATTTCGATTATGAGCTCTTGGACGCGCCCGGACATGAGCCGGAGCTCCTGGAGCTCTACCACGATCTTTGTCCAGAGATCGCGCTCCTCGTGCGCATCGACTTCTTCCTTCAAGGGGGCTCTAGGGCGATTGCGGGCTGCCATCGTATGCTCGGCGATTCAAGACGGACCAGTGGAGAGAAGGCTCAACGAAATCAAAGGAGGCCACCACGATAGAAGAGCTGGGTGGGATAAAGCGTTAACGGTGAGGTTCACAGTACCGGTAGTAGCAGAGGTGTTGTGGAGAGTGGGTGGGGGTCGGAAGGATGTGAGTGGTGGGGTCATGTACTCGAGTAGGTGTCCTCTGAGGTAATGTGGGGGTTGGGGAGCGAGCTAGGCAATGTTGACCTGAGACGCGCCCAGTGCCAAGTCAGCTTAGTCAGGCAAATGTCACGTGACCGCGGATTGCGGGGGCTGGCATGCGAGTACTAGTAGACTACGGTACTGCCGGACCTATTGTACTCGAGTAGATGGCCGGAAGTTGGATTATGACTGATTGCTTGGACAGTTTCGGTGACGCAGCCAATAGATCTCTGGCCCGCACATATAAGCACACCTCTACGATGGCAATCCACAAAAAGGAACATTCCCCCTCAATACCCTACCCAAGGTGTGTCTGGCAGTATGGTGCACAAGTAACACTGTACCCACGAGGCTCGCAATGCAGTTCACAGGAACGGAGTATCAAGATGTGTGGGACCTGGACCTAGTTCCGCTCTGGTGGAGTGATACAATCTTCGAGCCCTGGCCGGCCCGATAGACGGGAGAGTAACATGAGCAGCCGGATTAGCAACCGGGTATCATAGGATATGGAATATGATGGCTTTCAATTGATTGAAAATGCATACAACATTGCTTGGTGGCTGGCAATTTTTCCCCCGCAGCCGGCAGCCGACCTCTCTGATGGGATTATTAAACCTTATCATAAGACAGGTACACCGGTATGTTTATACCCGTAACAGATTTGGTTGAGCAGATACTTTACTCAATAGTTTTTAGACATGGCCAGCATTCCCGACCGTCCGGGCCCCCTGCAGGCCCTATTGGAAGACTGGAAAGATCCCTAGACTAGACGAGATAGCACATTATAGCCTGTCCAGGGTGGTAATTTGGTAGGGCGGCTGTTTTGGGGGCGGATGGAGGGGTTTTACAGGGCGAGACCTACATGCATCGGGACAGATAGTGGATGACTAAGGACTACAGGTGATTATGGAGGACGGTAGGGGGCTGCGAGGGACCGCAGGGTACTACCAATAGCGGACATGGTGGACCATGGCAGACTATTGGGAACTAACCGCTTGGACTATGCAAGGCCTTAGCTTTTCTGTTCTGGATTGATCATTCTCGTGCTCATATACTACAGGACCAATTGAGCCAGTAGCTATTGTCGTTGCGGACACCTCTGCGAAGAATATAGTCGGGGTGGATACCTGTATGCTGCTTCAGTCATTACCTGATGTTAGCAACAATAAATTCTGTTGAAAAAGGCGCAGCAACAAACCGGGAGGACTTTTGGAAAGATGTACACAGAAATAACCCTTAAGGGTGACATACCGGTACTTACCCCTACTCTTTATCATCGAAACAATATAACTTTTGTGGAGTTTAACCGTTCTCATGCTGTAATGGGGTGTCTTTTGTGTACTGTACTAGTACCGTAGGCTTGCTCGAGTATTCAATTAGAATAGTACTAATCTAGACTATTGATACAGATTAACCGTCCAGCATGAAACACCACTCACTAAAATTCTTCTTTTATACTCTTCTGGGAGCCAGGAGTCGGGCAGTACAACAACATGACTGCCGAAAGGTTTAGCATCCTATTCAGTCCTTCAGGGGCACAGACACTAAATCTCATTCTGCATTTGCTCTTTCGACTTCCCCAGATCACTGGGAATTTCTCTAAATTAGTATGCTTTTGGTAGATTTATCTGATGTACCGTACATCACTGAAAAATCAACATTTTAACTTCGAATCCTCCCACTGTACCTGTCAATACAATAGATCAGCTCAGCAGGCAGAATGCCTCAACAGAACAGCCTTATCGATGCCAGCCGCCCTATGATCTTCCTTGGCCTGCGGAAAGAACCAATCGAAATTAGGAAGACCAAACTAGAAACACTGCCAACTAGAATTTTCTTTGATGCCGAAGGAACAATTTTAGGGATAGGGGAAGCAGCACCGTTTTCCGCATACTCGAGTGCCATGATAAATCACATCTTCCCTGCCTGATACCGCTACGAGCGCTCACCTCCAGGACCCTCGAGGGGGAATAGTATGATATGTCTATCGCGTTGGAGCATGAGTACGAGTATTTTCTCGGATCATAACTTACAGCACGAGTGCCGAACTTTTAACATACAATCCCTACCGTATTGGATGAGCAACGTAGCTAAACCGCGATACCGGTACGGTACCGGTAGACTACTACTGGCCCCTTGCACAAGCATCCGAAATCCTTGGCACGGCCTCCAGTGGTGGGGGAACCCTTGAGTCTGGCCCCATTCGTGAGACCAATGGGTACGGTACCGCTATCAATGCTTATCATGCATCTTGCTTTAAACTCCTGTATCACTTAAATGGGGACACTTTTGAAATATCCCCCCGCTTGCTGAAGCCCCGGCTTATATTCTGTCCAAGTATGATGTAGAGAGAATACTACCGTACAAGAGATTCTGCCTTAGCGGTTTGAAGCTGGGCATTGAGTTAAATGCTTATTTATTCCGGTTAGGGTATTCCTCTGCCATAGGCTTAAACCATGCGAAGATGGCCTATCCGGGCAAGTGGGCTTAGCTGCGCAAGTTGACAAGATCACCAACACCGGTTGGTGGGGTCTAGGCGTACTGTACGGCGTCAGGTAAACACTTTTCCTTCCCGAGGTGTTTTGTCTGGTGTTTTCCCGACTGCGAGTGAGGCATAGCGTTTTGCGGGTATAGAAAGACATTTGGAGGAGCTCTGGGCAGAGGGTGGAAATTGGCTGGTGATTTTTCCCGAGCGCCGCCTGAGGTCCGACCCCCCCCCCATCCCCCAAGGAAAAATACCGATATGGTGAATTATTATGATACCGGTCCTAAAATATGTCGGGATTTGTAGCTTGCTCTGGCTCGGACTGGGGATTCATCGAACCGATTTGTTTACATGCCGTATATAAAGTCAGCGCTTTCCTTCTCGACCCGTGCATCTGGTAGGTCATTTTGTAGAAATGAGTTCTTTCCAAGTAATTTTCTACCTATATTTTAAACATGAGAAGCTATGTATAATTATAGTATAAAAGTTTTGTGGTAATCTTGAGTGCTTAGATCTTATATTGTTAAGTATCTTGAGAGAATTTTAAAGTTAAAAATTCTTTCTTATATCCCTGCTCCACACTAATTCTATATCTGAAAAACAGGGTATACCGGATCCGTGAAATGGCTGTACTAAAATGCTTTATAACAAAAATTGTTTTTCTTGCAAATTATAATAATAGAAGTAATCTATGATGTCAAACATGGAAACAATTCCAAGTAGGCTGTTTTGCAGTTATTGTCAATAGAGATAAAGGAGGAGACGGAAAAAGAATAGGTTTATTGTTTGAAGTATTGGTTTATATAAACATACAATATTATATGTAGCAAAATAGTCAAGTATATGATAATAAATATGCAGGTGGAAAGATAGACTAGTACAATATTAATATAAGATTTTTGTTCTACCAATTTCAATTGACATAACTAAAGTATCTTGGATTTCATCTCCTGTTAGTAGCTAAGATTATAAAATACTTGCTGTCAAATTTCAATAATAATATTATTATAGTTTAAATTTATTTCTATCCCTTTTAGACTATAATAATATTTATAGACTAGTCTCTATATATAATCCCAGATAGTAAATTAGGACTAGTAGAGCCTTGAGACTTAAGCCTGATATGACCAAATATAGTGTACATTGATGCGCCGGAAAACTGGGTCCTTAAAATAATACAAGTATAATACAATTTTGAACTAGTTAATTATAAGAATTTTTTTTTTTTTTAAAAAAAAGGAACCGAGGAGACAACACTACTTAAAAGGAGAAGATGTGGAGTTTTTTTTTTTAAATTAAGTAATGCATGCAAAAGTCGTTTAAAATCGAAATATGAAAATTTTGATGGGAGTAAAGCAAGTGATATAGTTATCACAATAATTATAGAAAATATATAATTCTATTTCTGCTTCATCCTCCATTCTGAATGTTTCCCTCGGAATATCTTTTTATTTTACTTATCATGTCTTGGCAATTTCTGGACTCAGGCCCGATGGGTTGCGACGGAATTGCCACGGAATTGCCATTTCGCCGGAGGACCCGCCTTCAGGCACTTTGCACCATACACATGATACTCTACCCTACACCCATGCGACGGTTTAGGGGTTGTTTGGCTCGACGTTTACCCCAGCTGCAAACCGTGGTTTTGCGGCTCCGCTTGTATGGTACCGGTATCGTGACTTAAACCGACCAATAACGGGCCTCAAAAATGTGGATTATATAGGCAGGTTTGGGCCATGATTGGCGGTCCACAAGCGTGGTTTGTAGCTAATATACGGTAGAAGGGACGCCAACTAGGACCTTGGTTGTGGGCCATATACCGTACCTGTTGGATAGCAGGGAGCATTATACTATACCTCTCCACCGGCGAGGAGGGAGTACGGTGGGCACATTACGATATACTGGGTGAGGAGGAACCCAAAGCTCTACTTTATTCTCCCTTCCTTTTCACCATATCCCCGATGAGGCAAGTCCTAGAAGTAGCGGGGCCACCCGTGCCCTAGGGCTGCCACTGTGCGGGCATGGCACAGGGAACAATACTAAGGATTGTGTCTCACAACGGAGCATCAGCGAAGAACAATATCAACTGTTAGTATTGTTCTTTAGTGCTCCCAACCTTCAGCTAACCACAATCAATCGTCACTTCTATAGTGCCCGAGCACTCCTTGGGATTGTCCAACAGACAATGACTTTTTGGTTTCACTCAGACTTCCAGCGGAATACTATTCCGTCTGCTCTCTGCCATTCATTCATGGCCTCCGCCATTCTCTCCTGCCCGTTTGCATTGGGCTACGATTGTCCCCTGGGAGAATGTTTCCGGCATAAATGTTGAGGGGATGGCTTCTCTGCTGACATCCATCATCAACCGCATCCCTCCGCTGCACGGCTTCCCCGAAATTGCATTGGTTTATAACGAAATACCTACTGCCCTTTTTCCAGTCTTTACTTTGATCCTCATCCCGTCACCCCAGATTCCGAGATGGAGCAGACTCCGGTCTACGAAAGGCCCGGCTTCAATCCCCATAAACAGAATGTCACTTTCTTCAACCCCGATGGGTCCACTGTCACCGTCGGGCTTCACGAGCTGGATGCCATGTTCACGAACAGCATCAGGGTTGCTGTCGTTTTCGCCAGTCAGATAGGAGCCTGCGCCCTGCTCTTCGTAGTCATGGCAATGGTCACGAAATCTGAGAAACGCCGTGCAATCTTCTACATCAACCTCTCCTCCCTCGTCTTGGTTATCATTCGCTCCGTTCTCCAAATCCTCTACTTTGTTGGCCCCTGGGCCGAGACGTACAACTATGTTGCCTACTACTACGAGGATATCCCCCATTCCGACAGACTCATCTCCATCTGGGCCGGCATTATTCAGTTGATATTGAACGCATGTATCCTACTCTCACTGATTTTGCAAGTCCGAGTCGTCTATGCAGTCTCGCCAAAACTCAATACCGTCATGACCGTGGTTTCCTGCGCCCTTGCGGGGACCTCCATTGGATTCTTCCTTACCGTCATCATACAAATTTCGAGAGCGATCCTCAAGGGGGTGGCATATGATGGATGGGTGTACAAGGTTCATCGTGGAGTATTCGCTGGAACAATCGCCTTCTTCTCGTTTATCTTCATCTTCAAATTGGCTCTCTCTATTCGACGTCGGAAGGCTTTGGGACTGAGGGGGTTCGGCCCTCTGCGGATTATCTTCATTATGGGCTGTCAGACCATGATCGTCCCGGGTAAGACAAGATGTATGTCAAAAAAAGTTTGTGCCAATACTAATGGTAAATAGCGATATTTGCAGCGCTAGAAAACGGAGTTGGATTCGAGGGGATGTCTTCACTTACTGCCACTCTTGCTGCCATCTCGCTTCCACTTTCCTCGATGTGGGCTGCTGCACGTACCGATACCCCGGCCCCTGAATCGGTGCCCAGAGATGGATATCGTCAGTTCGGCTCCGGGGGGTCCTCTCTCGGCCGCCCGAACCCTCCTTCGGGCGGAAGATCGGTGGATATGAGTACGATTGACTCGGCGAGACACGATCCACTGGTTCTTCATGTGGACAGGACCTTTAGTGTTGAAAGTAGCCCTATCTCTCAAAGTCAAGCTGGGCTATGTAGGGAGCGGGGATTTGAGTTTGCCTAGGAGGATAGATTGGCCGGAAAAGTCACGATACCGGGTGTTTTTGGCAGCGGATGCCGATCGGGTGATAGCACTTGGGTAGTTGGCCGGTCCATGTTATTTGTTTCATTCTTTCTGTTTCACATCCTTCTCTACGCATTGCGCTTTTTGTCCGTGAAGGCGTGATATGCAGTTTGCATCTTCTAAATATTAATGACAGCTATAATGATATAATTAGCCCTCTTGATTCCCTAAATCCCTTGAGCGGCTCTGACCAAAATACCACATCTGAGCTGTACAGTACAGCATCAGGTTACCTGCATTCCCAATCATTCCCGTCACGCGCAATCACTCGCCGCCAACTTTCGAGTTCCCCCCCATCAACGTAAGACGCCAGTAGATAGGAATGGAAGTGCGAGGCCCCCATTTCGTTTCCATGGTAGGATAACTTGCCAAGATCATCCCCAATTAACGCAGCTGGTCTCCCACCCATGCATACTGTAAACGGGCGAGTTGGTTGGCTAAGAAGGTTACCCTACCCACCAACCACCAGGAGGGCACACAAAAATTCCTTATCCACGGCAACCGCAGTCCTTTTGCCCCACCCTCTGGATCGCGAATACACCCCTCACCTCAACTCTGCCCTTTAGCTCGACTTGTTCCCTCTCAAGAGATCTACGACGATAATTCGATATGAGGCCCATACTACTTCAGGGGCATGTGAGTTGTTCTATCCGGGCCTGGTCGGCGGGGATTGACGGCAGACGGGATGGTGGGGCTAATACATTGAGCATTTAGGAGCGTAGTTTGACGCAGATCAAGTATGGCCATTCTTTCTGGGGATTGGAGTTTGGTTGCGGCGAGCAGGTGCTAATGTTGGATTTTTCGGGAGTAGGTATAACAAAGATGGTAGGCTTTACGTGCCCTTTGCGGGAGTAGATGTTTGAACTAATGCTATTTGCTGCCAGGTGATTTGCTTTTCTCAACGGCAAAAGACCACGTAGTCTGTGCCTGGTATTCCGGTATCTTAGTTTCCATTCCCGAAGCTCTCTCCGCCAAATACTAAAATGTTCTAGTGAATGGCGAACGAGTCGGCACGTACAACGGCCACGTTGGTGCTCTCTGGACTGTCGACATTGACCCGACCACCACCATCCTCGCAACCGGCGGCGCAGATAATACCATCCGTCTCTGGGACGTACGGGCCGGAAAGCAACTGAAAATGTGGGAATTCCCGACGGCCGTTAAGCGGGTCGAGTTTAGCGAGGATGGGACTCTGCTCTTAGCCGTGACGGAGCAGAGAATGGGCCACTTGGGTACCGTTGTTGTGTTTCCGATTACAGTCGATGTGGAGGCGGAACAGGTGGATGATCCTAGTTTCACCATTACCTTCCGCGAGAGTAAAGCGACTGTTGCAGCGTGGGGTTATCTAAACAAGTACATTATCACTGGGCATGAGGATGGGAGGGTTTCGCAATACGATGGGAAGGTATGAGGTTTCTACTTGCTGCGGCCGTGAGGAGGGAGGGCTCCCTTGGGGGGTTCATTCTTTCTCTTTCTTCTGCTGATTATAGGAGTGCAGACTGGGGAACTCATTAGAGATGTTCAAGCTCATGAGCTAGACATGCAGATTACCGATATTGATATGGCGCCGGATAGGACTTACTTTATCACCTGCTCCAAAGATAAGACTGCTAAGGTATACGTCGCTCCCCTCGCGCCATTTCTATACGCATACTGACTGCCATAGATTCTGGATGTCAACGAGCTTAAGGTCTTAAAAACTTATGTTACCGACACCCCCCTGAATACCGCAGCCCTTACTCCAAAGAAAGACTTTATAATCCTCGGCGGTGGTCAGGAAGCCCGTGATGTCACTACTACCTCTCAGCGGCAGGGTAAATTTGAAGCAAGGTTCTACCACAAGATCTTTGAGGACGAGATCGGTCGTGTCAAGGGCCATTTTGGTCCTCTTAACACTGCACGCTGCCCCTCCACCATTATCTCCTAGTATCGCAACCGGGTGCTAATGTTTGGCCTCTAGATCGCTGTCCACCCTCGAGGGGTTGGCTACGCCTCTGGTGGTGAGGACGGTTATGTTCGCGTGCACCACTTTGACAGGCAGTACTTTGACTTTGCGTACGAGGTGGAGAAAATGAAGGGCTAGGTTGGGTGGTGCTTGGTGGACAAAGTGGAGATTTATTTTTTTTAAGAAAATCTAGAAGCGGTTGCGTTTCCCTTCATCGGTTCCTTGCCCTTTCCCTCCCGTTCACTATACATATATATATATATATTATATATATTGTGTGGTAAAATTTCCATCTTCTATCTCCCCTGTTGTAATGGTAATGGGAGCGTAGCGGGCGGTCAATATCATGGCGAAAAATCGCACCCCAAAAATAAAAAACACTTCTCAAAGGGATTCTTTTATTCTATTTTTATGGATATGACAGTACTATAGGGGCATTCTATTGTAGTTCAAGCTGGTTTTAGTGGAAAGCCACAAACATATATAAAACTATGATCCAACCCCTTCCTGCTCCAGCTCTTCGACAAGAACCTGTCTAACAAGCTCGATATCCACCCTCTCCACGTTGCGGACCCTCTTTTCCCTAACCTCCAGGCCGAGGAACTCCTGCGGCCTGACCATCTTCTCGAAGTCATACTCCCCAACCCCCTCCCCGCCACTAACCCCTGTGAGCGCCAGATCCACTGCATGATTGAACTTTGCTGGATGTGCGGTTGACATTGAAATATGATGGACGTTTTCTTCACCAGCGGCCCGCGAAGCCTTGATAAGTCTCAAGGAAGCAGTGACTCCAACGGCCGAGTGCGGGTCGAGAATGTAAGGTGCGGAGGGCGGGGTCGTGAAGATGTGTCGTATAGTCTCGACAGTCTGTTTATCGCTAACGCGCTCGGAAGTGAAGTCCCTCTTCGCAATGCTAAGCACGTCTTCGGAGACCACGGTAGTACCAGTGTTCTTCAGGGAGGCCATCCACTCGTTCAGCACGCCACCGGCCCGGACACGTTTCTGGTCTTCGTCAGCAGCATCGGAGGCTTCGCTCTCGTATGCTAGGTACCAAAGCAGACGTTCGAAGTTGGAGGATACGAGGATGTCCATTGCTGGTGAAAGAGTTGCTTTAACCCCTCCCACTGCTAGGCTACCTTCCTCCTCCCCTATGGACACCGGAAGCTTTTCGTAGCGGCTCGTTCTGAAGAAGCGATCCAGGATGTCGTTCTCATTCGTCGCGATGACGAGCTTATCAATTGGCAGGCCCATCTTTTTAGCATAGTAGCCCGCCAACACGTCACCAAAGTTTCCCGTTGGCACGACGTAGCGAATAATGGGTGCGCTTCCTGCCGGTAGACGCCTGAGCAAGGTGAAGTAGGAATGGAAGTAGTAGACAATCTGGGAGAGGATCCGGGCCCAATTGATGCTATTGACTGCGCCTAGGTTATGGGACTTTGACAATTCGGGATGCGAGAAGAGCGCCTTTACCACATCCTGGCAGTCATCGAAGGTTCCGGCGACACTGAGGTTGTGCACGTTCTTGTCTAGCACTGTCGTCATCTGCGCTTCCTGAATTGGGCTCACTCGGCCCTTCGGATGGAGGATGAATACCGACACATCCTTCTTCCCGCGGAGGCCGTAGATAGCGGCGGATCCGGTATCTCCACTTGTAGCGCCGATCACCGTCAAGTGGTGTCTCTTGCCCTCCCCCTCATTCACATCCTTATTCTTTCTAACAAGAAAATACTCAAACAAGTTGCCAAGGAATTGCAACGCAACGTCTTTAAAAGCGAACGTGGGACCATGGAACAGTTCCAGGACGTGCAGGTTTGCGTCCGGGAGGATAGTATTGAGTGGTGTGATGTCCTCGTGACGGAAGGTGGAGTACGAGCGGGTGATTAGCTCCCGCAAGTCTGGGGCAGCGATCTCGAGAGGGGAGATGTAGAGTGAAAGGACCTCGAAGGCTAGGTCTTGGAAAGAGAGGGTCTTCCAGGTTTCTTGCCAGTTGGCGGGTGGGGTTGGGATTGCCTCTGGGATGAAGAGGCCATTGTCGCTTGCGAGGCCTTTGAGGACGGCGGCTTCAAAAGTGAACTTTCCTCCCCAATTAGTCCCTGGATTCTTCGGATTGCGGGCGGTAGGAAGGGGAACTCACTCCGTAAGACCCACCACGGGTACTCAAGTACTTCTGCGAAGCGGTGGGCGAAGTCATGACCGTTGGAGCGGGCGGGGAAGGAAGTGATTGATAACTGAGCCCTTTTTTTACAGCAGGGAAAGTGTTGAAAGAGTGACTACACCTTCCTTCCTTCCTTCGTCCTGGTCGGGAGATTGGCGGGTGTACGGTACTCGCCGGTTCATTTGCTATCCCGACAGTCCACAACCCTAACCCACCCTTCTCTCACAACACCTGATCCCGAGTCTCCACGATGAAGAAAGTGAAAACTACTACCAAGTAATTACCCGCTAAGAGCAGATTTGGGGCATGAGGGGGTAATTGAGTGGGTGAGATTTTTCATTTTTCATTTTTTAAGAGGGCACGTTGTTTTTTTCCTTGTGGTATGGGAGGGTTTGGGATAGACTGTCCGCATTCGTAGAAAAATGAACCAGCGAGTAAATTTACCGTAATCGTGCCAAGGTTGTGACTAAGCCTTGGCACGATTAACTGCACTGTGACTGGGGGAAAAGAAGCGAGAAACTTTTCGCCGGGTCACCCAAGTTGGTTACCCTATCTTGTTCCCATTCACAAATAATCACTCGAAATCTCGATTCCAAGCTTGACTCCCTGGAGCTCCTCCGCAATTGATTTCCCCGAAAAGCGCGCTCTAATGCTGACTTATACCTAGCTTATCACCCATGGGCAGGTCCCTCCCCCTCGATATGAGAGTTTCTATTTGGGAATATATGTTATTAACCCTTGGAGGCTGGTCGTCACAGTCCGATGCTGAGTTGATGTGAGTTGCTACGATGGGTGGTGGGCAATGGATTACAGGATATGGCAATATATACACTGTCTGGAATGCTACAGTGGGGTGCAGAAGGCGAATTATCTGGTATGGAATTATGTTCACGGGCAAGTTCCGAGCAACGTGCCGACGTCTTAACCGAGGTTTTTTTGATCCGTAGCGGTCCGTATATCTTGCTAGAGCATAATATTCAGCTCTGTCTAACGCCTGCTTTGGGTTTGCGCTTCTATCCTCTAAACGAAAAAAAAAAAGGGATGATTGCTTAGCTGAACGGAGTTTAATCTTTACGTCCGCACCACTTATGACCACTTTTACCAATTACCAACTACCAATTACCAAATCCAATGTTGGAAATACACAGCTAACTGACACGATATCCATCCCGGCGCATCGACCCATCGACCCAACCCCCCCCCCCTCCGTGGAACACCTTGAGAAACCCGCTAGAAGTTATCGACATGCCCACCCACCATACTGCCATACAGAATCGCACCTCCAACGCATATTTCTCCCCTAATCGCCGGGCAGGGCTGAACACGGACCATCCAAAAGTGTCCAGGTGGGCATCACACTTGAATGGAATCCTGTGGGTGCATTTATCTACGCACATATCACACTGCACGCGGACATGACTATTAATACTGGGGATGACGGTACGAGTAGCGCGGCCATTAAATATTATATCGTGTGGACCGGATAGACGAGCAGTCAGCGAGGAGTTCTATAAAGCAAGGTTATCATACAGGTCCCGCTTTTTTTTTAACAGTCTCACGTTCGGAACCGACCGCGTGGCAGAATTACCGCCACTCGCTAAACATCCTCTTCTCTGCGGGGAATGATCCTGTCATGTCATACAAAATGAGGGATCTGGAAATTGGTTTGAGAGTCATAGAGAATCACTCGTCTGGGCATGTTCCCGCAAAGGGGCACGTTCCAGCATTGGCTTACCCTTCACTGGCCGAGCGCAATATACGGTTTCCCACAGTAACGAGGAGCAAGTGGGAGTTTTCGGGAAGGGGGGGAAGGGGGGTATAGCCCGGGATGAGGTCCTAGTTTGGGGGGGTACGAAATTACGGATTTCGGGACTCGTTTTATTTTTTCGTTGGGGGTTGGGTGAGTAGATGCGGTTCATAATATTATAGGGTGGTTCTCAGTTCCCAGCATGGAGACTCTCGCCTTGAGGGATACCCAAGAGACTGCTGAACGTGAGGTAACCTAGTTCATATCTCTTATCAACACAACCGTTATTGCTGCTGTGAAGGGGGAGGTTCTTCTTCTCACGCTTCCGCCGGAGGAGCAGGAGGAGGAGAAACTTTTTGGCCAGATTTATAGGTTGTGGGGATAAAAGTTGTGATTTCAGTCTTTCCACGAGGTAGGTAGGTAGGTGCGTGCGTGCCTGTGTGGGTCTTTAATAATAGAGTTGGTAATTCGCTAGTTGCAGCTTTGGAAAGTACGCAAGAGATAATAGGAGTCTTTCTGCCAGAGTGCAGTTCTTATTCTGTGCCGGGGGTGCTCACATATACACCCACAGCCATCGGAACTGCGCATCGCTATCTATTCTACATTGTTTGGACGAATCCGCCCATCTACTCTCCAGGCCGTTTTGATTAGGAGGAGAGTAACAGGTTTCCAGTGGGAAAGAAAGACTGACTTGGTCATATCTGACCGATTGTGCTCGTGCTCATCCTTTCGGGGTTTACGGAAATCCTGGACGGGGCGATGGGGATAGTTGGGGAAGAAAGGTAATGTAATGTTTGGGCCATGCTGTGTGAGTTAGAGCTGTTGATAGCGCTCTGGGAAGGGAATTTGTGGAATTTTGGCTCCTTGAACCGTTACAAGAGATTCCTAAGGCGAGTAATGGTGTATGTATCTGTCAGTGGTAATTCAACCCGCACCGAGCGGACGGGCCTATGGCAACGAGTCTGGGGGCTCTAATTTGAAACAAATTGTTCTCAAGAGTCCCCCTTGTGAAGAAATGTGTTTGTTTATGCTAATCCTCGCGAACTCTCACTCGGAAAACCCGGTTTCAGGGGGCTTGAGTTACCCTCCTTTAACCCACCAAACCTTTCCGGAAATCCACCCCGCCAGCTTAGAACATTGCCGACGACACCACCGCGGCCAATTCAACAACCAGCAATTGGCCTTAAAAATGGCGCCGAAAGCTGTCTCTCCGGGGGCCAACCTCCTCCGCCAGTCGCGGCTCTTCGCTATGCCAAAGCCCCTCCCCCCACCATTAACCCTCCGCCTAGGACACCAAGAGCCAGCACCATACCCAACCGTCCAAGCAATAACCGCCCCGACTTCCTCACGGGTCCGCGGGAACTGGGGACTGAAGCGCGACGCCCCGCGCAAGGTCACGCACACGACGATGCGAGTGACAGAGCTGGACACAATTGAGCGCTTCATGACCTTCGAATCCGCCAATGACGACGTGCTCACGTTGAAGAAGTGGCAGGAGATAGACGTACCTCTGACCAGGGGCCCCGGACTAGTAAGTGATCTGAACATGGCCACGCGCCATCTGGAATCCGTCTTCGACGAGGTCGCCGGCGGGGAGGGTTACAAGTGGAAGTATCTCGGCCCCTTCCTCCTGGACATGCCAGCAAACGAGTTCAAGCGGTACGTGCTGAAGAAGGTGAAGCCCCAGCGGAAAGAATTCGAAGCCTTTGTCGCAGAGAGCATGGCGAGGGCGCGCGGGGTGTATGAAAGCGCCGCCACGGCCGATGGGGAAACGGGAAACGAAATACAAGTGAACGTGAACGAATTGAGGGCAGACACGGGAAAAGAAACCGAAGTGAACATGAACGAATCGAGGGCAGACACGGGAAAGGAAACCGAAGTGAACATGAACGAATTGAGGGTAGGCGCGGGAAAGGAAATAGAAGTGAACATGAACGAATTGAGGGCGGACATGATGAAGTTCCTGACCCTGGTATCGGACTTCCTGGACCTGCCGAGGAGCGGAAGGCCCTACCGCACCCACCCATCCGCGGGACTGCACTACATCCGCTCGGCAGCACACATCCCCTACGACCCCGAGCACGGCCCCCACCCCACACGTATAGTACCTGGCCGGTCCCTCAACTCGGGTACTCCCGGCACCGGCCCCGTCGTCGGGGTCGGCGGCGTTGCGGCGATTCTCCGCGACAATGGCAACTACCTTAACGCCGGCCGGGCACACAACGACCGCAGACTCGTTCGCGACTACGAGCCCAGATCCGCATACATTTCCAACCGCGGGCGGGTCATGATGGACGTTAGGCCCGCCATGTCCTTCGAAGAGGCCACCGGGATGAGGAGTAGGGGTGTCGGGATGACCTGGGGCTCCTTGGAGGCCGGGTCCACGCTGGATAGATTGAGGGGTTTAGTTCCCCAAGGGGGAGGCAGGATGGTGGGGGGATGGCGTGACTGGGGCCGGGATTCCGGGGAACAGCAGGGGGGCGGTAATGGGGGTAGAGACGGCTTGATCAGCCTGGTGCCTCCCACGTCCAAGTATTCGGAGGCATTCACGAAGCCGAGCCAGGCGAGGGCGAGCAGGGCGCCGGACAGGAGAGAGGCGATAGATGGTATACTAGCCAGTCTATCAAAAATCTGACATGCAGATCGCTCCTCTAACCCTCTCTTTTGTGGTCCTCATTCCGTGTTCCTTTTCCTCCATAGATATTCTCCCAGTGTACAAACAAACGATCATGGCCTAGGCGAAGATCATTGCGCAAGAATTTCTGAGCCGTCTACCGGCGTACTATACAGTATAAGAAAATTTATCATTATACACGCCCTCCCCTCCCCAGGGACTAAGCACACCATCCCCCAGCAAAACACATACCGTATAGGAGAACTCTAACCTATGGTATTGTAACAGTGATAGAGAGGAGAAGATAATCCACCCCATCACACGCCCAACGTAATGCTATCATACCCAAAACCCGAGCTATATAAACCAATCGGAGCGTTTCCACTTGAGGTAGTTATCATACCTAACGCCTTCCCTTCCCTATGCACACACGGCAAATCGTATATTTATTTATTTATTTATTTACTTATTTTCACCCTCTTTCTCTAGGAATCTTTTCACCCGGGGTATCATAAGTTAGACTCCTAGCACAAAAAGTAACTTGTAACTTATAGAACTGGGGGATTGGGTAGGCGTTGCTCGTTCTCCCGGGGACTTTTTTTTTTTTTCAAAGCGTAAACTATGTACTTGTACGAGTACAGTAAGTATTTCACGTATAATCAACGCCACCCCTTTTGGTGCTCGGTGAGTCTTGAATGTCAGAGCTCAAGAAATCCTGGTGTATATTTATATATATTATGTCGTACCGGGACTGTTTGATCAGAGAGTGGCAGACAAACTTACCCACCGTGCCTATTCTAATTAGATTATCGGTGAGATGGAAGGCGTTACGATCTGCCACTGTATGATACTCAAAGTTTCTCTTCCCGGTTTCCCCTCCCTACCCACCTATCTAGGGTTGGGTATGGTACCACGGTTTGGCCAAGGTACTGTACGAGTACAGTACCGGCAGTCCAGTAAATTCCTCTGGATTTTCAAAAGGCGCAGCCCTTCCCTTCCCTTTTTTTCTTTTTTTCTTTTCTTCCTTCTTTTTTCTTTTTATCCTCTCTTATCTGCTTGTACTTCCTGCAGCAGGAATAGATGGACGGCGGTAGGGTATTCCATCTGCCCGCCCGTCAGGCTTTTTGCAAAAACGTAATACCGTACCGGTACTTTGTGTGAAAAAGGGTTTGATCACGGGGTCCCCTCTCGATCCGTGCCGTGCATACACGATCTAATGAGTACGAATGGCGTGGGCTTTATTTATTTATTTATTTGTTTTGGGTAAGTTACCGTATCCCGGGTATCATAGCTCTCGGTTTAGCCGTGGATTGAGGTTATGATCTGGACCTGGAATCGGTAGACTGCCCCTTACCACAAGAGTGGAGTGTGATGTATAATAAGTTAGGCCCCGTTCGGTTGCAACGAGAAAATATAGATTTGAGAGAGAATCTATGGATTCAACGTCAATCTATGGTTTGTGTATGAAATGAGTGTTCGGTTAAGTGAGGAAAACTATGGAAATTTCTAATTCTCAAAATGACCTCAGAGTTGTTTTTCAGAAAGTATTGCGTAAAAAATAGGCTGAATAACAACCAAGCCACAATACTAGCAATTAGTCATGGTTACCCTTCCATGTAGGTAGAATAAAAAAACCCATCGGACCATGCAGATTAAAATCACAGCCAGGAAAATCAGCAAGCGAGCGATATGGAAGAATCACATTCTTCAGCGATCGGTACACACAATCTACTCGATGCCAGTGGACTATTGGCAATTGCACTCCTGATCGGCCAACATTATCATGTCCGAGCTCAAAGTATCCCTTATCATACCTCTGGGCTGAGTGGTTCAGCGTACATATCCGAGATTCTTACTTCAAATAACCCTAATCGAATACGAGATATTTTACGCATGCCTCTTACAACCTTTATCAAGCTTCGAAAATGGTGTCTTAGCCATATGGTGCTAGCCAATACACAGACAGTTACAGTAGATGAACAGTTGGCTATTTTTTTATGTATTGTTAGTGGAAATTGGTCTAATAGGGCCACAGCTGAGCGTTTTCAGCATAGCGGGGATACAATATCAAGGAAAGTAGATCTGTATTAATATTAATTTAAGTTAACTAATATATAAGTTATAGATATTTTCATAAGGTTCTTCAAGCCTTACTCTACCTTTACAAAGACTATGTTACTCTTCCGAGCACAGAGATACCATATCACATTCAGTCAAATACAAAGTTCTTTCCATTTTTTAAAGACTGTCTTGGAGCATTGGATGGTACTCATATTCTAGCCAAGGTGTCAGAATCAGAGACAATTCCATATCGCAATCGGAAATGTCAAATTACCCAGAATGTCCTTGCAGTATGTACTTTCAATTTAGAGTTTGTATATATCTTACCAGGATGGGAGGGCTCAGCGCATGATGCCCGGGTTTTACAATTTGCACTTGATAATGATTTTTCCATACCCTCTGGGAAATATTATCTTGGTGACGCAGGGTATGCTGCATGAGATGGTTTACTTACACCATATCGAGGGGTTAGATACCACTTGCGTGAGCAATACAGTAGCGGTTTGAGGTATCTATTTAATTTTTTCCTATCCACATACTACAAGACCTTGAATAATTGAACCTCGTACTAAGAAATCTGAAACCCAAGACCAGAAACAAAAGAAGAATTGTTCAATCTCCGTCATTCTCAGCTACGGAATTGTATCGAGCGAATATTTGGAATATTCAAAAAGCGCTTTCCTATCCTCAACCGTGTTCCTGAATATTCATTCAAAACACAGACTACTCTTATTCTTGCGCTTTCTGCCCTTCAGAATTTTATTCGCAAAGAGAGTCCTGAGATGGAAGATCTTTTCTGGCACAATACCGAGCAAGAAAATTCCTCAGAATCTTCTACAAATTACTCGAGTTCAGATCATCACACTATGAATGGTGGCCATCCCGATTCAAGAGAGATATTATTGCTGAGAGACCGAATGGCCAATGCCATGTGGAGTCAATATCAAACTACAATGAATAGTTCTCGGTAGAGTATTTCACAGCTAATAATATTAATTCTTTATTATAAAAGTCTCTTACTAACCGTACTCGATATTACCTTCAAGTTAATCCTTATCGAATACCCCTCTGGTATACTGTGGCGATCGGTTATGAGGGAGTGATGAAAATACCCCATGGGCTGGACAAGGTCAAACCCGACAGACCAGATAGCGAAGGCCAAACACCCATCTAGTGTGCTGTAGTGAACAGGGGCGAGGGAGTGGTGAAAATACTGCTTGGGTGGGACGGTGGCAACTCGGGCTGGCTGGGTGCCGGGGGCGAGATGGTAGGTGTAACCGGAACTGGAGTTCAGTCCGTTCGGTTCCAGGATTTGTTTTAAGTTTTGTTTTACTTGTGGTTTCGAGTATCCTTTGATACTCAGTTTGTTTTACTTGTGGTTTCGAGTATCCTTTGATACTCAGTTTGTTTTACTTGTGGTTTCGAGTATTCTTTGATACTCGGTTTGTTTTACTTGTGGTTTCGAGTATCCTTTGATACTCAGTTTGTTTTACTTGTGGTTTCGAGTATCCTTTGATACTCAGTTTGTGTTATGGGTTGCTCACAGAGGATTTGAAAATCCGTCCATGCAGGACATGGACGAAGTTTGTATTTAAAGACCGCTGAGTCCCTTAGAGGAACAGCAGACTTCGATGGACAGAGTATTTCTAATATACTTGATTGAACAGTTACCTCTTCAAAGTCCCTATTCCTTATATCTTTCTCTCGGAGCCTCCCTTAGCGCAGTACGCCCATAGGTTGTAGATCAACTTGTACGCTACTCCTATTGTACCCGGAAGCGTGATTAGCACCCCGGTGCGAACACGTTACATTTTTTTAACCTCACCAAGTGGTTAGAAACTGGTGTGCAAGATCACGGATCGACAGGCGCAACCCAGCGAAGCTAGCACGAAGGCGGAGGAGCCCAGCAGTGGCCCGCCTACCCCACCTACACAATAGACCCTCTCATGACGCGCAGTGGGAAGCAGGTCTCCAGAGAAGGGCTAACGAAGCCCAAGAGACCCGGCCAAGCGAAAGGCCCGAAAGACGGATTCGCAATCGACGATCCAGGAAGACAGCTAGCACGAGACCAGGCAGCTCAGGATTTCAAGGGATCCAAGGAAGAGTTCAGCCAACAAAGCCTATCCACGCCCGGAGGCTTTCCAGTTACCCCCGGAAAAGGAAAACAACCCGGAACTAGCGGAAGTTCATCGAAACCACCCACAGAAGGCACAGGTGCAGCACCTGGCCCCAAAGACAACGGTAGCAGTAGCGACAGCGAAGACAGTATGGCAAGCTCAGCAAGCCTGAGAGACCCACCCGGAGGTCCCCCGGGACCACCGGATCCTCCAGGAGGAGGATCTGGAGTTGGTGGCATACCTGTCAATCCCCCTAAGATCAAGCTCCCTCTGCCTGCGAATTTCTCGGGAAAGGGCGATGATTTGAAACCCGAGGCATTTCAGCGATGGGAAACAGCAGTGCACCAGTACCTAAGATTGCATGGCATTAACATTGAGGAACACAACACGGGAATGTATATCGGAGCTTTCTGTGAAGGCAGAGCCCTCGATGCCTACCAGCAATGCATGGACGCATACGGCGAAGGAGCCAGAGCAACAAGGGTACTAGAAGCCCTGAAGGAACGATTCCAGTCATCCCGCAATAGCGAAGAGATATTCAAAGCCTTCAATGGCATCAGCCAGACCCACGGCGGAAAAACAGAACGAATAACCAAGATAGCAACAGACCTCCTGCTCTATGCAAAGCGTATGCCCCGCGGTGCAGTATCTGCCTACATGCAGAAGCGCCGATTCTATGATGCTATGCACCCCCTACTTTGAAGGGAAGTGGAACCGATGGAAGAAGATGATGATGACATCCATGATATCATAAAGAGAGCAGAACGGAAGGATGCAATACTGCATGAAACCAATGCCTATGGAATGAAACCCTCGCCACCACTTCGAAGGGAACGGCAGGACAATGGACCTGGACCATCAAGGGTGAA